GATCTTGCAGCATGTACACGTTTTCACTTCATTGAGAGAAGCTTTGGTTATCGTAAACATTCTTTGTTATCCACACTCTTTTCTGCAATCGGAACCTTTTGTGTGTTGCATCTGTTCCAAACCATCACGGGTACGGTGACACAAAGAGCATGAAGTTGTCTGGCAAATCGTCCTCAGTCATCTGATCACGAGGGTGCTGGAGACGGAAGTTGATGGGCGTTTTCGGTAAAAGTTCTGGACCTGTGCCAAAGTACCGCCTTCTCCAGAAGACATTTAAGTAGCTCCGCAAGTCAATATCGTATTCGCCGCCTTGTTCATCATGTGTGATGCACCATGTAGTTAATCCAAGGTGTTAACTTTTATTGTATGTGATCACTGTTGTATATTAACTTAGCCGTCATGTTCCTCTAAACACGCTAGCTCTATTGTGTGCTCACGTTAACCTCACCGCAGTACACTTATGCGCTTACATGTATTCTCTAGTACGTTAACCTACTCGCAGTGTACTTACAAGTTAACACATGGTCTCATCGCAATGTTATAACGAACTCGTATGACGCCCTTAACATGTTAACTTCATCAGAACGGCATCACAAGCCCACATATAGTGCGTAACCCTTTAGTATTGTTGTTTGTGAGTCAGGTATTACGGCATTATATAAATCCCTTAATGCGCCTGGATCTTGTGACACTCTTGAGGTATTCTAAGTGCACATGGAACTGTTTCAGTGGCCTATAGCAAAAATACTAACCCGCCTTACCCTCACTTATTGATCATGATACAATATTGCAGTCTGTGTTGTACCAATGTTTATATTTCGTTATTCTTGAATTATTATTGCTATAAACGGTTTAATTACCCGAGTTCGAGATATTGCTCTGCGACAATCACGAAAAAGTCCCGCGTGGCAACTTCTACGAAGTCGAGCATCCTACTCAAATCTAGTGATCATAAGGTGACGAGAACTGCCTCGAAGACTTAATTTCCACTAGCGACTGCTAAAATGACCGTTGTCAACGCTACTGACTCGGTCATTTCAGTTAAGAAAGAGACGTTCATGTTCTAAAGTGTGTCATATTGAAATGGTCTGGAACATTCTGTGAGGACGAAAAACCATTGCTTATCGGAAATGGCAACAATCGTCCACATTATGAAGATTCCAGATGGTGAAAAACGACGCCAGAAATAGGCACTAGGTAACATCACCAGAACAACTTGTAATGGAAGCGTTTGCGGTTTATTTACAAACACTATCTTGTACTGGCACTTTGATCGTAATTTTGAAGTTTCATAAAGTCCTTAATCATACAGAACTATAATTATCTGTGTAATTTGCTTAAAATGATGTGGGAGGTGGGCACGGAGTCGGGTGTTCTTTGTTCTCTTCACTACATCCTCGATGCTTTTGAAAGCTCCCCAAGCTGCTCATTTTCTTCTGCTTAGCTCTGGAGCTAGGTCGTTCATCATATTGATTTCCCGACCTAGATAGATATAACTGGAGCATTCAGAGATATATGTTCCGTTGAGCGTGAATGGGGCATACGAAACCAATCCGTTCTTCATGAACATCGTTTTTGTGAGATTTAGTCGAAGACCAATCTTTCCACAGGCTTTATCAAAGTCGTCAAGCATACGTTCCGCCTGGCTAATGTTTGGTGTTATAAGGACGATGTCGTGAGAAAAGCGAAGATGGTGTAACTTGTCGACCGTCTATTTTCACTCCCATATTATCCCATTCCAATGTTCGCATGACGTTCTGGACGGTGGCGGTAAATAATTTTGGCGATATGGTATCGCCTTGCCTAACTACTCTTTTGACGTCAGTGCTAATATCGTTGTAGAATGGTGATATCTTGGTTGTGAAAAATAACGTATACGACCTATAAAATCAGGATTTTCCTATTCCCACAAAATCTAATACCAACTCTGGAGAGATTACAGGCGTGATAGCCTTAGGGCGTAGGATTGAACCCAACACCAAATGTGCATTACAGAGCACCTCTAACCAGTGCGCTACGGTCACTCTGTTATTCTCGTATGGATTGCACATAGATAATTCCCAAAACTGACTATCTATTAGCCTCAGCACTGGTAGAATAGTTCACTATGGTGCGAAGAAGTTATTTTTCCTTCGATGCGATGGAAGTCTTAGTTCGGTGATTTCTGTTTGGTTATGGAGGTGTTTTGCTGAGTAGATTGCAGACAATTTGACCCTTTCAGACTCTTAAAAATGCGAAATCCGCGGAAACGTCAGCTTTTTCGTCAATAAAGAAAATAAGGGATAAAGTAACAACCCTATGATTGCTCACCAAGAATACTGTAAATTGATAATTCGTATCTCTCATGACGACAATAATCAAATGAAAGTACGACATTATTTAGCCGATTTCAACTTTACTCAAAGTAAGCCGATGTTGATTTGTTCAAAGTCGTCATCGCTTCATATTCAACTTACGACTCAACTCTACGTGATTTTATACAGTAACTCACACCATAAATTAGTTCTAGTTGATGTCATCGATTTATTGTCTATTTCTTAACGGTTCTTCCTAGAGTTCTGGGATAACTGGGCTACAGCGTTCCTACATGGATTGCAAGGAGCGAACTATTCTCAGACAAGTCTGGCACGTTTCTTGGCACAGGAGAGATCAGACGCTCCCTGGGCTCGGAGAAGAGGAAAGGTGTTGAACCTGAGCACTACTTGTGATGAACGCCATTACTACCATTACGCTACTCGCCCCTAACACTAGACTCGATTGAAGAACGCCTCTTACGACCTAGAAATGCCGGCGACTGCTTGTGGTGTAGACTTAGGAATGCTCCAACAAAGCCATCCCAGGATTAGAGGAACAATCAACTCAACTGGAATTCAAGCATACTCATGACATAATGTTTTTATGTGGTAGGTGAACCCACACGCAAATCTGGAGATCTTAGTGGGAAATAGACGCGAAGAAATGAATAATATAGAAAGACTGGGATCTGCACAACATGCCTTGTCTTGTAAATAAGTAACAGTCGGTAAGTCTACCTCGTAACATGGTGGTAGAACCACATATCAGACGTTGGAGCCTCAGGATATGAGGACGACGTTGTAATCTTTGGTGGGAGAAATGTACGCTCCATTTTTCAACTGTTCAATTCTGTGGGTTACCTTAACGCGTGACAGATGTATATGGGTCGTCAATAAGATATTCAGGAGTAAGAGTAAGAGAGCAGTCCCCATGAATAACAAATTGAACTTGTTGATGAGCTCTACTATTTAGGCTTCTTGCAGAAGAACAACACCACTCACTAACAAAGCATTTTGCGGACATACACTAATGAATATTCGAAGCATTTAATTCAGTGAGCAGTGGTCTCTATGATGCTTGCCGATGGGCAAATTCTAAAAATTAATCAAGTATTCCTTCCGCGTGTAGCGCAGTGGTTGAAGGCGTCCTACAATACACACAGGATCGATCCCGCGCCCCTCCATCCCTCCGAGGTCGGCAGATTGGTACCAAACTTGTCTAGGAGGATATTAGCACTGGCTCGATACATCGGTAGGCCACCACGAGTAATTGTAAAGGCCTGATATGTATTCAATCACCTCCAACGATACTTAATGAAGTCGAATGCTTGGCGCATCCCTCAGGGATTGATCAACGCCGACAAATTTATCTCTAATCCTTTTTATTCTTTCAGTCGTTCAACGAATCATGACACATTCTATATGAAAACGTGGGAAACCAAGACAATTATTAATAGCCAGAAAGTAAACTAGAAAAACCTCTGCTTTGGCAGACCTCCGACAAGACGAGTGTAGCGCAGGCTCCAGACGCTCCGCAGTCCACATGTGGTCTCTGGTTCGATACCGAGCCCAGAGTGAGACAATCCTTTCATCAATCCTTGGTCGCAAAATTGCCACCAGACCTCTATCAGAGAATAAAAACATTGATTTAAGGCACCTGCATGCGGTCTCACGCCCACGCCAGACACTTTGCAACTTCAAGACTCCACCCCTTATTCTAGATTGTTGTGTCAAGGCTCTTACAACTCTTATTCAGTTTCTCCTCCTTTGGGAACGCTGCAAAATCTCTCCCACATTGTTTATCTCCTTCTACTTATTAATGTTAGCTCTAATACTTTTGCGATGCTATCCGCATTGTCTGCACCGTGAGATGACACCTAACTTCTCCACAATTTTAAACTGCATTGAGCGCAACACGTAACAGGCAAATTTTGTCCTAAAACTACTCAGTATGAAACCTTTGTGGCATTACAATACAAGCGAAACAGTCATTGTCATGTTAAACGTTCACTATGACTATTCGCGTTCCACATATTTAAAGCAAATCACACGCACAAGTAACTCCAGGGTTTAAAGTGAAAGAAAGAAGAAACTTACAAAAAACCATGTCGCATTTCAAATATGTAAATATATAAAACTTTGTTCCAATTGTATAATACGCAATATAACAAATGTGGAGGCAAGAGAATGCGGCTCGAACACAGCCAACATGGAACGGAACGGAACGGAGACGGACTGACAACCACTTGTGAAATAGTCATTAATAGTCGCGTATTTACACATCTATGAGCAAATAGTGCTATATAAATATAATATTTTAAAACTCATAAAATCATGGCAGCAACAACCAAATTCAGCATGAAACCCTCGTTGGCCATCAGTTAAGAAGACGTTAAGCGATTCTACTATACATAGTATCTAATGACAACTCTAACGACGTTAAGACACAATTTCAGTCCTATAAAAGTACGGTACACTGCGTCCCTTAGGTGATCAAATAGTTATGGAGGGATTAGAAATGTTTTAGCTGATCGATGCACATGAGTCTTAATAGTTAAAGGAAATAAAAATCGATTTGAAATACACAATGATATACATGTTTCTAACCAACGTGGCCGATTGAGAAAAAACAAAAATCGGATGATCAAGGGCTCTGGTTCTAAGCAACAACAATATTTCCACAGCTTCTCTATAATGTGGGATGGATTACTTTTGGTCGAGGCCAATTCTTCTTATGTTATGAAGAACCACTTCCGGTATTGTGTGCGTCTTCGTTGGTGATTGCAGGGTTTCTCGTTGATTAGTCAACATACTCAGTTGTTCCTAAGTTGTACCTTTTTAAACAAAATCTAACAACAATGATTGCTCGTTACAAAATCAAACGACTCCATATGTGAGCTTCCTAATAAAACTTATGCTAGTTCATGTTCGTGCATACTGCTAGTTCAAAATACGCCAACTAAACCCACTGTAAGTACTAAAGCTCTAGATTCACAATAACGGCAATATCCTCTTCAGACTTCACAAAAAAGGCGACTTCTAAACTAAACCATGCTCGAGAACCCACAATTCACCATTTGGGTTATCTCTTCCATACTTGAATACTTGGCTACTTGGACACCTCGTCTTCACTGGCCCAGTATAATTTCCATTTTTCCGGAGTTTTGCTGGTTTAGCCATTGTGGGTCCCTGAAATCCCAAGGTCAGCCAGGCCAAAGTCCGGCCCAGGTCGTTACCACCACAGAAGTCGCCACCCTTGTGGATGAAAGGGAAATTTGCCACCATGTGAGCAGTTTGATACCAGGACGATGGTGGATCCAGGTATTGCTTTACTCCTAGCTGAGTTTTTTGGTGGAAGTTCCGGATTCCTCAGCTTGGGAGACTCTGCTGGCGCTGTACATCGCAGTCCGACACCCAGGAACACCTCCTAGCCACGATGAGGCGGTAAACCACTATCTCGTTCATAACAGTAATAATAAAACAGTAACAAAACTAAGGTTGTTTCTATACCCGAAATAAAAACGATAAGCATAAAAAAGGATTAGTCAATACTTCTGAGTTTACTACACAACTGGTTACATTCTACTTTCCCATATGCGCATGAAACAATACTTCCGCAGATGATGATCGTACTTGGGAAAGCAAGACTTCAAATGTGAAGCGAAACAAGACTCCTAACTCAGCAAAAACTTCAGCAACAACAATCCTATACACAAAATGAGTCGTTTTGATAAAACAAACTTCCCAATGAAGTGTGGCTCACGAAATATTTGAATACAGAAAGACTGGAGGATATTCTTAGACTCTGACTGAACAACTTTTAGCTGAAAGTCACCGTAACATATGACTCACCTTATAGTGATGTAAAATATCCTGGTCTGCCGGACAACTTTCTATAAAAGCGGCCGTTCGATATGCTGTTAACACATAGTTCCATAAATATGTGAGATTGTAAGGAAAGTCGAAGCTGTAAACAAAATTCTGATGAACTGAGTCACAGATAGATAAGAAGAAAAACATGACAAATAACCTGTCAAGTCACGCTGCAGTACCAGTACTGTAGCCAGACGAGCTAACAGATGAGACAAGTCATAAAGGCAATTAAAAAATGAAGAAGTAAATTCAACATTCGGAAAATGAAGCCATACTTGAGCATTCTCTGTCCAATTATACGCATATGATGTAGTCTAGGCATTAATTCGCAGTCGTATTCGGTCATTGAAGGACCTAACAAGTAACGAGTTCTACGATCGGCCAACAACTGAAATTCCAATATTAACCTTACTAAGCAAATAATATAAATAGAAACAATATAGACAGAAAACTAGCTGAGAGACAGACGAAACGAAGGAACCGAATGGTATGGTGGTGACCGCGTTAGTCCTCGGAAAGGGCACGAGCGTGTTCGATCCCCAGCGCAGACCTGCGGTCCGGAGTTTCGCAAATATCTCAGCATGGCAGCGTTAGATAGAAAACTAGCTGAGAGAAACGCAAAGCAAGGGCCTCATTGGTGCAGTGTGCAATACGCGAGCCCCCCGAAAGGGTAACGATGGTTCGATCTGGCCCGGGGACCAAATTTTGCGAATACCTCCGCAACGCTGTGGTTGTACCACGCATAATACTCTGCCGTGGAAAATTGTACTGGGTAGTGAATAAAAAAGTTAACACCATACACAAATAATATTTACGGAGAGAAATGAAGTATCACTTGCCTGATCAATACCAGACAATTGTTCTACGACACGATTATAATGTGTCTTAATCTGTGGTGGTAACGATTCAACCGAAGATATATCTCGTATCTCTTTGTCATATTCTGTCTTGGAACGAAGGAAAAGTTTGAAATTCTGAAAAAAGGAAATGCGCCCTGAATATTCAATGAAGTCGTAGTCATAGAGAAGCGACGTACCCTATATAGACTTTCTATACGTTTTTCGACTGTTGGATCCTTTTCGAATAGGGGAACGTGGAATTCCTTAGCAAGATGGAAAATTCGTCCTTCAATTTCACGATTATCCGTGTAAGTTGCACCTCTTAAAGCAACAGGATAGAGACTTGGACTGATGGACAAAGCAGACCAATCTTACTTTTCCTCCTCGATCATAATAGGCGGCTGAGCGCCGAGGAAGTTTTTCTTAAACGCTTCCGAGTTCACATTTACGGTTTTTACCTAAAACAATGAATATGTGTGGATACTGGGAGACGGGAAATGAAATTAAAAAATAAACATTCTTCCACCTCAACTCTGGCAACGCCAATCTCGTAAAGAGCATAGAGTTCCATCCAGAATTCCTGACAAAATAGACAAGCTCCTATGCGTCTGCTGTCAATTCCGGAAGCCTGAAGCTACCTTACAGTAAGAAGCTATACAAGCATGTTCAGTAGAATATCGACGAGGTGAAGATATTCAAGAGGTTTTACGACAAAGAAGAATATAGCTACAATGATGCTGAGACATTTGCAAAACTCGGGACCCAAGGTGTCTGCGATGGGGAACGAACGCGCTATTAACCTTTCAGGGGTCTAACGCGCTCACCAGTACACCATGCGGGTCCTTCGTTTCGTCTTTCTCTCAGTTGTAATAGACAGCAAATAAAAAGAAAAATATGCCTTAAACGACTTATATTTGTTGAAATACAAGGCACTGAAATTTTTGCGTAAGATGGCTGTTCGCTTCTAAAATTTGAAATAAACACCTTTAAATCCAGTGCCACTAAGTCAAAGAACCTTCATTGAGCGGATATTTGAATCTACAAAACTTCATTTGCCCACCCATGTACTTGTTTATTTAACACCTGGTACTTTTCTATGGCAAATGTCTCCACGGTAATATTTAATATCCTTCGAAAAATACTGCCCATAAACTAAGGCATCGACGCATTCCATAATTCTTTCTACCACAAACATATGATACTGCATAGCAGTGAAGCAACATGGTGTCACAGACATTACATCGGCTTTAAAAAACCAGATACTCAGTTAAGAGTACGCCATGATCGGCTAAACGTTTTATGAACAGCTGGTCTTAGTCCGAAAACAGTGAAAACCAACCATAACTGGTGAAAACGATGACACTCATTTACTTGTCTATGCAATAATGGGATCGATCCATGCGACCCAGGCTCACTAAGCCTTCCATCGCTCCGGATTCGGGAAATTAGTATCAGACTTGTCTGGGAGGATAGCAGCACTGCCTCGATACATCGGTCGACGACCGTGAGTCATTTGTAAGGGTCAGATATGCATGTATTTACCCCCAACGATGCTACGAAAGGAGTCGAATGCATGGCGCATCCCTCAGGGACTAATCAACGCCGATAGCTTTCTTTTCAAGCAACTGATACATTATTAACCTTCTCATAGCAACAATTAAGTTTTCAATTTAAGCTCCTCAATGAACTAGAGATATGTACTGCATTCAGCACCAGTTTAAAAATAGGACAATATTCAGATATAATCGAAGCTAAAAAAATAATAAGCCGATGAAAGTCCTTAATGGCCTGGTGACGGCTGTCCTGTTCTGTCCCTGCTACTGTAGCTATAAGAAATTATTAAGTTGTTCGCGAACTGATGCAGAATTTGTGATTTCCATTCCACCGATGCTTTCCTTAAAAATGACTTTTTTCAAATGCTGCACAATTATATGTCAATACAAACCTTATTTTAAGCACTTTAGCCCTATGTAACTGGACTTTTATATGGACCGTATTTCCCACAAATCTTATAGGACCGGAGCATGTGAATTATCCTATCCTCCGTTGAATTATCCCTTAGAACCTACGCTCACTCCGGAAGAAATAGCGCTCGCTTTTATAAATAAGGATAAAATTAAGGATAAAGCTCTCGGCGTTGATCAATCCCTGAGGGATGCGCCATGCATTCGACTTCATTAACTATCGTTGGAGGTGAATGAATGCATCATATCTGGCCTTTAAAATAAGTCGTGATGATCCACCGATGTATCGAGCCAGTGCTGCTATCCTCCTAGACAAGGCTGGTACCAATTTGTCAACCCCGGAGGGATGGAAGGCTTAGTGGGTCATGGGCGCGAGGATCGATTCCACGTGTGTGTTACAGGGCGCCTCCGACCACTTCGCCACACGCGTCCATCACTGGCTTTTATTGGTCAGATATTAGGATGTCAAGATATCACCTTCAACATTTTCTTTAAAAAATCCAAACTCGGACGTTGTCCAGCGAAAATAGCCCAAAATACTAATGAAGTAGAGAACCAAGGAAGTGCTAACGAAGGAAAAGTGCAACATTGATTTCAGAAATTTAGCCGGTGCAAATTCAACGTTGAAGATGAATAAGGTCGCTGAAGTCCTTTTGCTAATGACGACGATGAATTGAAGGCTTTGGTAGAAGAGAACAGAAGCATAACTTTTTGAAAACTTCCAGAAGAATTTGATATAAGCACCTCAACTGTTTCGGAGTATCTCAAAACACGAAAGTCGAAGAATTTCGACAAATGGATGTCACAGGAATTGACAACACGTCGCAGTACCAACGTTGCAAAACTTAAACGAGCTGGGCTACGAAACTCTGCCTCGACCACCATACTCATCGGAACACTTGCCTATACACTACCACTTCTTAAAGCATTTCGATGAATTCTCGTAAACCGTCTTTGGCGACTTCATCGCCTCCGGAATACCGAAGTTTTATGCAACGACATGAACAAATTTGTCACTAAGGAGAAAAATCTGTAGTTAGTAATGTTGTTCATACCGACTAATAAAGTTTATTCCGACCTGAGATACGCCACGTTAAAGATACAGGCTTCAAATCCTAAACTATTTTCCCCACATCCTCATATTTCATTAAGTCACGTTACACAGGTCTACCCACGACCCTTGTAAATCACTGAGTAAATAAATAAGCAATAAGCCATTTACTTAGAAGGAAACAGAAAACGAAACAAAGATTTAGTTAACAAGAACTACTTTTTCACCAGAAACTTTCAGTTTCACGCTAAAAAAATAGTGTTTGGAAAATATAAGTTCGTAGAATATTTGAAAATACAAAAGTAGAACGTAGCAAAGGCTTTTTCCAAAATGCTTCTTATACATTCTTGAAGTTTCCACAGCGACAAGCAATGGATAAAGGACACGAAAGGAACAGTTTGCGACTTTAGCGCCAAGTAATGACAAAATAAACTTTAAAAAAAAATAAAATAAAATAAACTTTCTCTAGAAACTAAGTTCAATCCATCAGCTAAACTATAGATTTCTTCCTGTCGTACACTTACTTATTTCGATATTTGGATGGCCCGTCTTCACTGGTTGAGCGGGCCCCAGCATATTCTCCATTTTTCGGAGTTTTTCTGATTTAGCCACTTTGGCTCCCTGGAGTCCCGACGTCAACCTAATCAATACCTGCCCTAAGTCGTCACCACCACAAGTAGTCGCCGTCCTTGTGGATCAGAGGTAAACTTTCCACCATGCGACTACTTTGATACCAGGACAATGCTGGATCGTGGTATCGGTGCTGCCGTATATCAAGGTTATTTGGGAAAGTCCTAGGAGTATCACGCATGAACAAACTACCTGTTCTCTTTCAACTTTACTCAAACCAGATAAAATCTCTCTGCACTTTGCACAGTCGCAATTAAAAGTGATGAATGCATGAATAAATAATGACAGTAAAGGCAACGCGCCAATGAGTTCGAGTTCATGGCCGACTTTGAGAGCGACCCCCACCTCTCATACTATGAGCAAAGAGTCCTTAACTTTACTAACAATAATCAATTGGCTAACTCTGAAAATATAATGGACAACAACGAATAGATCGAAATCCTACCTTCACGTAAAGCTCTAACAGTGGTTTCCTGAGCGTTTCACCGCCATTCGCCTGAACTTGATAGTCGTCAGCCATCGGAAGTACGGAAATATGGCACGACACAGTTTCGACTGAGTTCTGGAATGTAAATATTGATTACTGATTCGATCACTCGACAAGTGAATAGGAAAAACGACGACAACAAATCCACTGAATTCGAAGAATTTGATGAAAAACTTCATGAAACCGGGGACAGAGCTGAGATTGCGATGACAGGTTTCAACTGTTTAGGATACCAAACAGAATGGTTATATCAAAGAATGCTTTGAGTAGTACTTTCATGCAGTACAGAAGTAAAATAACATAAACTAAGGAGGGAATAGAGAAAGAAAAGAGAAATAGTAAGAAGTGAAATGGAGTAGGTACCAGAATACACAGGGAAGAAAAGTAATACTAAAGTGATACAAGTAATCTCTAGAATATTCGAAACTATTCTGCAGTGACTGCAAGTTTAGTTCAGTACAATGAAGCAAGTACTACAGAAATTTGATAGCACTTCAGAGTTACCAAAGAAGAGTTAATGGTTACCGTTAGTTCGTTGGTTAGTTAAGAAAGCTGGCTATCTTTAGGAAAAGTTAATAGTTATAGTTAGTCAGCTAGTAAAGTTAGTTAGTTAGAGGATAGTAAAAAAGAATAGCTAAGCTTATCAAAGAAAGAATGCACAAGCACTGAGAGTACTGATTGATGGCACTTGACAGTACTAGTGACAAACTAACATCTTCCTATTGTATCTTACTAAAGTAAACTAAACAAAGAACTACTGATAAATCTACTCAACATAACCACGAGCAGTAAAACTAATAAATAATGACAATTAGTCGGGTTAGGTAACCCAAGGAGGGCTTAACACATATCCTAAAACCATCTCGCAAAAATCCTTATCATCGAAGGATAAAGTATAACAAGGCTAAAGCTCTCAATGTTGATCAATCCTTGAGGGATGCGCCATGCATTCTGCTTCATTAAGCATCGTTTGGAGGTGACTGAATGCATTTCTAGCCTTTACAATGACTCGCGGTGGTCCACCGATGTATGGAACCAGTGCCGCTTTCCTCCCAGACAAGTCTGATTCCAATTTACCGATCCCGGACGGATGGAAAGCTTGCTGGGTTACATGCGCGGTGAACAATTCCACATGTGTTGCAGGGCGCCTCCGACCACTGCTCCACACGCGAAAGCGTTCCAGAATCATTGTTTGTGGCAATAAAGAAGAAAAAATAATATTTTTTTCTCAAGTCAAACTCATAGAAACTATCCAAAAGTCTACTAAAAGTGAAAACAACTCAAACAACGACGAATTCGAACGGGTCAAAGGTCAATCCTTATCGATCTTTTGGTGAAAATAACAATAATTCTATCCAAAACAACTGAAAATATGGAGATATGGCTACCAGTATGGTAAATATCGAACAAGGGTTAAATACGAACTGTCACATCCAAATGAAAAGGACTGGAACACATTACCAGTTAACGACAGCAATACTTTACTGTAGTCGATAGGGAACTTCAATGTTTAAACTCTAATGTAATCGATTAGTTCTGAATATGGATGATGATTGAATATGTACCGAAAATAGAGAAAATAGTTGCTTAGTTTCATATTTAACCCAAACTCTCGCTAGGTTACTCGATTAAACGCAAGAAATACTTATAGACTGAGGAATGAACTTGAGGAACGTGACAGACTAAGGCATCGTTGCTTTAGAGCACTGAGGTATTAGGATTCCGTTGGAACTTAGGGTAAAACACTTAAGCTTTAGGTGCATAGGGTCAATAGCCCGAGAACCCCGGAACAACTACTAGCTGAGGTCGACGACGAGCGTCCGGAATGTAGCGTTTGTACGGTCCACAGTGGCGAGTGTGTGTGTGCGAGAGAGAGGCCGCAGACGGCGGGACGCAGATCGATCGATACGACCCGGATACTCCCACCGTGACCTAAAGCGACCTCCGTCCCGGTATTCGGAATCAGCTCACACACGGTCACACATCATCGTCTTCGGCGGATCGAGTCCAGAATGAGTCGTCATCCAGCTCGACCCGGTCCCGAAATGTTGACAATGAGACCAATACGGCTTCCGAATTCACTTTATGGTGTACGTAATTGCGTCCACTACATACAGTATTTAGTTTTAGTAGCGACCGTTTGAGGACCACAGCACGAAGTGTCAATTTTTCCTTTTCAAATGTGATGCTGTATGTCATTTTACGCTTGTCAGAGTTTGTGACGTTCGGATTTTGCACTCTTCGTCAGAGTTTTCGACGACCTTACCGTTCAAACTATGCAGACTGAAATGTCATGTCGTTTGATACTTTGCCAGATTTCATC